TATATATATATATATATGTCGTACTGTATTCTAAAAGTTAATATTCTTTTTTTATTCAAACATTAATAATTGTGTGCATATTATATTTCGCTGTTATTGATTCAAAATCATTTTTAAAAATACCAGGCTTACCATAATATTATGTATAATTATTAATTAAATATTGTGATTTTTAGTAAATTTATATATAAATATAAATGTGAACATTATATTTAATAAAATCAAATCTGATCAAATTTTTCGAGTTGTGCCATTAACAATGCAAACATAGAACCACGTTCGATTTTTTTACTATCTTTCTGAAATGATGAAAGTAAATAAAAAGATTATACAATGATAATTAAATATAATAAATATTAATATTTATTAAGTAAGTTTGGTTAGAAATAAAAGACAAACCACTTCTTAAAGTTAATAGTATATAGATTCATTCACATATATTTTAAGAAATGGGCTTGTCTCTTATTTTAAGGAAACTTGCAAGTAAATATTGATATTATCATGTTTAATCGTGTTGTTCTCAGAATTATTTAATTCGAAATAAAGTTTATATTTACATAACTTGAGATACTGATTTAAAAGGATATAAATGTATAATATAAATAAGGAAGACAAGTTTTCTTAATTTAGGTTAGGTTTATCATATGATTCTATTTGAGTTTTTTCAAAAAAATGAGAAAAAGAAAAAAAATATATCAATTCTATACTTTATTTTTAAATATATAAAAATATATTCTATAAATATATCACTGCTTGGCATTAATAAAAATATAATTCAAAATATAAATTAGAGGCTAAATTTACATTTTTGAACATATCAAATATAAATCTTATTAGTTATTATTATTAATAATTATTGTATATAATTATTAATTAATTATTGTGGTTTTTCATAAATTTATATAAGAATAGAAATTATATTCAATAAAAACAAATATGAAATTCTTTGAATTATGCCATTATTAATATCAAGCAGTGATGTAAACAAATTTATATTCAATAAATAGTACATACCGACATATCTCTCATTTAATTTCGTTTCTCACGACAGATTTAACCACTATCTTTAGCTTAAGTTAAATCGATCACACTGTTATGTTTGTACGATTATTATCATATACACGATTCAAGTAGATGCAACTCGCGATCGAATCGTTTCGCTACAGTGTACACATAGTGGCAATCGTGCAAACAGGTGGTGCGTACGATTTACGCTCGTAGCCAATGCTTTGCTCGAATGCTCGCGTGTGAACGCGTCCTGATTTTCGACCGTGCATCTGCCTTGCGATAACTATCGATCCTGTGCGACTCATCGATTGTTCCGCGATCGTTTCGGTTGCACGTTAGGTTGACAACGAACGGTATACCAGATGGACATGGCCGCGAATCGACTTCAGTTTTGTTTTGTTCTACTGTGCCGCTTATCGGATTTCCTGTTCAAATATCTTTCGTTGCATCGCGTTGATCGTTAACCACTTCCGGAATATGTAAATGAATGATCGAGATTCGTCAGTTCGTTTGAATTTTTCTTTTACTTTTGTGACATTTGTATGAAGATTGAAAAGTATATGATAGTTTAGAATCTATAGACATAAATTACGTGATAGAACAGTGTCTTTTTTGTGATAATTATATGACAGGTGTTACTAAATTTGATATAAATACAATTATAAATATAAAATTGAAATAAAAAATTTTTTCACTCTTTAAATATTATAATGTACATTTTATTTTGAATATTTTATTATGCATTATCGATTTTTGGACATTTAAATTTTTCATAAATGCATAAATATCCGCACTCTAGTGATAATAATAAAATGAATTGAGATTAGAACTAAAAAAAATAAGAAGATAATAATCCATATGTCAATAAATAAATAATTTCTTTTAAACGATAAAAAATATAAAGAAATTTTTCAAACAATATTCACTTGTAAATTTATTCAAAAATAAGAGATACATTTCTTAAAATATATTATACATGGTGCTATCGATAATCGAATAGATTAATTTAAGTTAGGTTAGATTAATAAAAAAATCTACGAATCACTGTACATACATAGAAACATCATTAAAAATAATATGCTCAATAAAATATTTCAAGATCATCGAAATCGATGAAGATATTATTCCATAAACATCAGAAATCACGAAACATCGAATGATTCCTAATAACCTTTCCTCAATACAACTCAGTGACTGTAATTTGTACATTTCTAGGTAAGGTTTCTCCATGTTTCACGAGAAATACGCATACGTACGATATCGTGCAGACGAGTACAATCACGATTCGTAGGTCCGTACAATCGAAGGAGGAAGGGGGTCGGAACAGCGAGATTTACCCCAGAGCCCCGGGCAACCGCAACCCCCCGAGCGATTTCGATTATCGATAGCACTCGTTTTAAAACAGCCTGTGTGTCGATTCGTCGGTCTCCAACGCTAGCCCTCCGTCCCCCCTTTCCGCCGAGCAAAACCCACCCCGGTTCTTTTTATTCCCTTCTCGTTGACGGACGCGACGCGACGCGACGCGATTGTCACATTCAGAGGGGGTGCAGTGGCCGTGGTCCACCCCGCAGATGCTATTCCAGATTCGTTCGATCGGCTTTCCGATTCGCGGCTTCCGATTCTCGGTTACTCGTTCGTAAACACCTGCGGCTATACCCTCTAAACCCAACAGTATCGTTCCCGCTCTCTTTTACTTCGTTTCGTTTCGTTAGCAGGCTTGTCTGCTGTTCGCCTCGCTCGCGTATTGGCGTTTCGAATTCTTTGCATTCATGACTGTCTATTCTATTATTCCACTTCGTTTTGTTCCAGTAATTTTTTCTTCTATGCTTGGAGAGAAGAGGGATTGCTTTCGTGATTGCCTAATAAGATTAGAAAAAATATAAATTGTTTAATTATATTTGGGAATAGACGTATTATTTTTTTATCTTTGTAAATAATCAAATTTAAAAATGGAATAAAAGATGCATGGATTTATAAATAACCTAATACAATGATTCTCAAAAAGAAATTTTTAATAAACGATTTTAATATATCACGTAACAGAGTCGTCTCACTTTTGTTGCGTAAATGGTGTTGTGAAATCTCAGAAACTCGTTCAAAAATATCAAGTTTAAATCTTCTAATATAAATTAGAATATAGTAATGAGAATGTTTTTGTTGTATACTTTTTCATATCTTATTCAAAGCACGTGTTTAGAACTTATATCAAATATACAGAAATCTTCCGAAATCCACGATGCCAGTTATAGGTTAAACAGGTTATTTGTTTCAATATAATTACATTGCCATTATATTCTAGAAATATATTAAAATTCTTCCATTTCAAATTAAAATAATCATTTATTATAACAATTATAACAATTAATTATAACAATTAAAACAATTTCGCTAATATTAATTTCTTTAATCTTTTTCCTTGTCACGTATAGGTTAAGTTGTTAAGAATATTACAAGTCACAATTCCAAAAGGTTAGAAGAGATCGAGATCTAATAAAATCGAAGAGAGTGCAGCGATACTGGTGATCTTGGCTGGATATCGTTCCATTAGTGGCCGGGTCGACAATAGACCCTTAGGAGGCGATAAGGCGAGCGACTTTCGACAGGGTGGTGAAGCGTTCGCGTCCCATCTCGTCTTTTCCCGTTTAGTTCTCGTTTGCTCTCGAGGGAACGATCGCTCATCTCTCGAAACACCGTTTGTTCACCGCGCGGTCATACACCCTCCATCTCCGACACGTAATCTTCGCTATTCCGTGTCAACTATCTCGCATCGATCATACCACTGATACTATTAAATTCCTTTTTCCCGTTGAAAAAAATGTCGTCGAACCGTCTTATCTTATCACCTCTATAACGAAAGGATCGTCAGATACGTTTAGACAAAAAGAAGTTGAATGTAGTCATAAAAAATGTTCATGTGTTTTATTGTTATTCTATAAAATATTTTATATGAAATATCGTCAGTATGTAATATATTATAGAGAAATTTTGTTATTAATGGAATATTGTAGGTAGGAAACAAAATTTTAAACTATAAAATATGAAAAATATTTAAAAATTTTGAAAGTTGATTTCATGCATTCAATTCAATTCAAATTTTAAAATTACATTCTTCATAATAGATAAATTTTTTTATAAAATAATGAAGTCCTTCTGAAGATTATTTTAATTATAATACAATAAAAGTAAGAATAAATAAAATAGTGCTTACTTAAATAATCATCCTGTGATTTGTTCGCAAACTTGTTCACATCAAAAGAACACAATTTTTTACAAAAATTATCTAATTATTTTAATCACAAGTTACCTGAACGAAACTAAAATTAGAAAACAATCCAAAACTTCGTTTCTTTTCATCAATATCTTTATATGTAACAATAACGTAATATAGAATTTCTTTTCACATATCTATACTATACTCAAATTGAATCGCTCTTTAACTTTTCTACTTCAACCGCTTCTCCTCACTTTTTCTCTTTCTCTCTCCCTCCCTCGATTTTCCTCAACCTGGAAAAAAAAAAATCTCCCTGTCGCTAACTTTTTACCACGGACGATTTCCCGCATAAGAAATATGAATTGTTAATAGGAGGTAAAAGCAATTTTGTGTTGCTCCACGTAACGGAGCATCGATATATTCTCAGCAGAGTGTATTCGTCCCGCGGCAAATCGAGTCAAGTCGGTTCAAGCGGACTATGTAAATCGGGCCGATATCCCATCTCAACCACGATCCGCATACATTAGTTTTTATTTCGTTTCGCTCTTCCCTTCCTTAAGTGGTCATTTTCATAAAAAGGCCCGCTCAAACTTGCTTCCTCTCCTCTTTCTCGACAGGTTAAAGATCGTGACGAGCCACCTACTTTTAATAATAATATTGAAACGTATAAATAAGAATTGTTCGCCAAGAAAGATCCTCATGCTTCAAGGAAAATACGACTTGCTCGTGACAAAATATATTGATGAATATTTATATACAAAAAGTATCGATAATTTTTTAATACGTTATTAAAATCATCGCTTTGAATAATATTGTGAAATTAAGTAAATTTTTAACATTAAGTCTAATTTTATCCTAAATTAAAATTAAAATAAAAATTGTTTATAACAATAAAACTAACCTGATTTAATCTAGTTATTTTTGTAAATAATTTAACGAACAACGATCACCAAGTAAAATCTTAATATTAAAAAAATTTCCCAAATATCCGAAATTCTAAATTCTAATAGTTAACAAATTTCGTAAGCAATCCTTTTCCCGTTAACTTCACAATTTCAATTAAATGTCAAAAGCAAGTCTCACGCGAAATATTCAAAAGCACGATCGAAATTATCGACCGCAAGCGATTTAGTCCTGATCGGTGGTTGCCCTCCCCAGGACTCGACCCTTCCGGAGGGAGTTTTGTATGCGGATCTAATTACTTCCGGTCGGTCGTTCGCGCCGCTCGATACACATATATCCGGAATATCACGAGTCGAATCTGCGCGGAGGATGTCCCACACATCTGCTCGAGTCCTTTAATATTTTTCTCTCTCTCTCTCTCTCTCTCACACGCACACACAAGCATCGCGTTAACACATCGCGTTTCGCGCACTTCTCACTTTCGAAACGTGTAGTGGCGTAGCTTCGAGCCTCGTCAAATTGAACGCTCGATCGGTAAAAGCTCGACGAAACGAGATTCGAGATGGGTGGTTCGACAATGAGGAGAGTAATGCTCGCGCTAGAGAGGAGCAAAACTGGTGAGTACCGAGTTAGGAATGCTTTGAACTTGCCGCAGCTTTGTCGCGTATCTCTTACACCCTACGTTCCATACTCGACGGTATTGCATCCCACCGTTTAATATTTCCAAAGTGCTTCGAGGAAAATCGACTGAATCACTGAAATAGATAGCGGATGATGTTTTTTTTTGGCTCGCTTCACCCTGATCCTGATTAGATTGCAAATATGTAATAATTTAGGAATGGAAATACTCGAAATTTTTCTAAAAATTCTAACTACATTTAGAATATATATTTCTCGAAGCCTTTATGAAATATTGCAACGGTAGATGATTTTGAGAATAAAACTCTCGAGAGTTGCTAGTATTTTTTCGCAAGAAATTATTTATGTTAAAGTTCAGATCATTACATTTTTCATTTCTCTTGATCATCTTACTTGTATTCGTACTCTTTCAAGATTAAATTATTAGTCGAAAATTCGACACGTTTCTTTCGTTTTTTCGTTTCTTATGATGGAGAGAAGATGAAGACGAGACGGTGAAAGTTGATAAACGAAGGCGACGCAGAGAGAGGATAGTAATATAGTTGAAGAATCCCCGCGTTGCTTTGACGCTCGTCACTCTTCGGGATTACGGTTAAGACCAAGGTGGTGGTCGTTCAACTTTCCGTCTCTCGTCGCTTTCTAAGCGCAGTCGCCTGTAAAAAATGCAAAGCTCGCTTTTTATTTAGTCAAAGCCGAAGTAGAACGCGCTCGAGTACCGCCAAGCTTTGATCTTTTCGAAACGTCTTTTTTTTTTTTTTTGAATCTACCAACTACTTTTTCCAGATCGAATAAATAAATATACAGGAAAAAGATACAAAAAGTTCGATTTCGTATCTTTCCGCCATTATCCTTCTCCAATACAGTTAGCAAAAGTTCACTTAATCCATTATTCACAAACTTTTTTCTTCAAAAATTTTCTCCTGTATAATTCTATTATTCTATATAATTCTCTGTAATTAACCTCAAGTAAAATATTTCCAAATAAAATTTTCTTCTTAAAAAAATTCATATTGGTGAGAGCTCACTGATAACGAGATATATAAATACACGCGTAACCTGATAAAACATAAAAATAAAATTCAATATATCATAGTAATAAATCAATCAATCGGGTATTAACGAAAATTTCCAAATTGTTTGTGAACAACAAGAAGATATAATTAAAGCTATAAACTCAACAGTGACGCAAGTTGATGGAACAAAAATAAAATTTGAATATCACAGCAGCAGATAACGGATGAATCGGGGCATTGACAAAATTTCGTTCCAACAAACGAAACTCGTATAGATATAATTCCATCTCCTATCGTATTCTCAACTCGTTTTCTAAACACAACGGACCAACGATCCTTTTGTGCCCTTGTGAAGGCCCGAGAGATAAGCGGTCATTTTTCACGGATATATATAAATGCGGGTTATTAATACGTTCGTATTACAGGGCACATAGAGGAGGTAATTAGTCGATGGTCCATCAGTCACTCTGGCACATAAGAGCCGTGCATCCCTGACGCATCGTTCCGAAGCAAAAAAGTGTTGATCCTTTCCTTGAGAGCAGCAACGACCCGCAGGATGCATTAAGGAACTAATGAAACGTCGGATCGGAACGTATCCTCCTTGAGAGAATCTTCTGGGAGGAGGTTTCTGGAGAGAAGGATGCCGAGTGTGACGATCTCTGTCGATAGTTAATCGCCTTGCTCGAGGTAGATCGATTATTCAAATTCATTGTCTCGATTCGGCCTTTTATAGGTGGTAATTGGCGTTTCAACCTGAGATGCACCTGAAAATAAAAAAAGAATTAGTACGAAAAAAAAAATTAAAAATTAAAGAAGATGTGAA